GTATTGGTTTAATTAGAGTTGTTTTTATATTATTAAAGTAAACTTTAATTAGAGTGGTTTTAGAGCAGGGGTTTGCAAACTTTTTCTTTCAAGGGCAGATAGTAAATATTTTAGTATTTGGGGGCCACGCAGTCTGTGTTCTAAATACTCAGCTCTGCCACTGTAGCATGGAAATACCCATAGACAACATGTAAGAGACTATGTAAACGAATGAGTATGGCTATGTTGCAATATAACTATTTAACTTTAACTATTAACAATACAACCATATAAGTATATTTAAATATAACTACTTAAAATAGGTGACCCGCTGACTTTGGCCCATAGGCCATATCTTGCTGTACTAAAGTAACCACTACAACAAAAACAAAACAGCCCAGAGAAACACAGTTTACAAATTGAAGATATGAGAGACAAATTCCCACTTACTCCAAAAGAAAGCAGGAGGGAGGTAAAAAGTGACAAAGAATAAACGGAGCAAAAAGAAACCAAATAGTGAGATTGTAGATTAAATTGAACTACAATAATTACATTAAATGGAAATGGGACAGATTGAAAGGAAGGTTTGTGAGGTCGTGCAAAAAAAGCAAGACTTAAACTGTTATTTACAAAAGCACTCACAGACACAAAGACACAAAACACAAACATTAAACAGAAGGATGGAAAAGGACACACCATGCAAACTAATCATAGGAAGGCTGGAATTGTTAAAATTAAAGTAAAATTCAAGACAAAAGAATATTGACACATGTAAGAAAGATGTTTAACAATGATAAACAATATTTCACCAAGAAGATGTAACAGTTCTGTATCTGTATGTCCCTATTAACAGCATGAAAATTCATGAAGAACTTACAAAACTAAAGGAAATATAGACAACTCCACAATTACAGTTGAAGATTTAACATACCTTGTCATTGATTGATTAAACAGGAGGACAAAATAAAGCAAAGCAGTAAGGATATAGAAGGACTGAACAACACTATCAATTTAACCTAATCAACATTTATAGAATAGTAAATTCCAAATTCAGAATATATATTTGTTACAAGCACATGAGGAACATTCATCAAACTAAGTCTTCTTGACCATAAAACAAGTTTCAGTGTATTTTAAAGGATTGCAAGAATATGCTCTGATAAATTAGAAGTCAATAACAAAAACATAGCAATAAAATCTCAAAAATATTTAGGAATTAAAAAATCATGCTTCTAAAATCCATGGGGTCAAAGACTAAGTGAAGGGAAATTAGAAAATATGTTTAACTGAACAACAATGAAACACAATATATCAAGATTTGTGGAATACATCTAAAGCACTGCTTAAAATTCTTTGTAGCTTTATATATTTTAGAAAGAAAGGCTTAAAAGTAATGATTTAAGCATTTACCTTATGAAGCTTAAAAAAAAGAGTACCCAAAATAAGTATAAGGAAATGATAAAGAACGGTAATTAGTAAAAGAGAAAAAAAAAAAAAAAACTCAGCAGTAGATAATTCAACAAATCCAAAAATTGGTTCTTTGAAAAGATCAATAAAAGTGATAAGCATCTAGCTAGACTGTAAAAAAAAAAAAAAAGAAAGAAAAAAATTCCTTGGAAGATACATATTACCAAAGCTGACACAAGAAGAAAAAGAAAATCTAATGATCATTATAGAGAGTAAATTCATAATTAAAGATTTTCCTACAATAAAATTCTAGGCCCAGATGATTTTCTTGCTAAATTCTAGGAAACATTTATGAAAGATAAATCTTACTAAAACAGTTTCTGAAAATAGACATGTCCAATTTGCATAATGACCTGAAAACAAAACCACACAAGGATATTATAAGAAAAAAAATTACAGATCAATATCCCTCATCAATGTAGATATAAAAACCCTTAATGGAATAATAGCAAATTGAATTCAGTATGACAACACATCGTGACTAAATGTGGTTTACCCCAGAGAAAAAGGTTGATTTAACACTCAAAAATCAATGCAATTCATTGCACTAGTAAAGGAGAAAAATCATATGATCATTTCAGTAGATCCCAAAAAAGGACTTAATATACACTCATGACTTAATTTTTTTCAACAACTGCAATGAAATTTCCTCAGCCTGATAAGAGGGCATTTAGGAAAAACCTACAGCTAACATCATACTTAATGTATAAAGAATGAATGTTTTCCACCAAAGAACAGGAACAAAGCAAGGATGCCCATGCTCAGTGTAGTATTAGAGGTCATAGAAGGTATAACAAAGCATGAAAAAAAGCTATGAAAGGCATACATGTTGGAAAAGAAGTAAACCTCTATTCACAAACATTACTGACTATGTATAAAATCCTAAGAATCTGCCAAAAAACGAGAATTAAAAAGTGACTTTAGAAAGATCTCAAGACACAAAGTCAATATACAAAATGATATTTACAATAGAATTAAAAAACAAGAGATTTAGAGATAATTTTAATGGAAGATGTATACGATACCTACACCAAAAACTACAAAATACTTAGAGAAATTAAAAATCCACATAAATGGAGACAAGTATCGGGTTCATGCATTGGAAGACTCAAATGTGTTGTTGGGATTTCAGTTGCCCCTAAACTGATGTTTAGATTTAGTGGAATCACAATCAAAATTCCATTTTGCTTTTTAGTGGAAATTGACAAACCAGTTCTTAAATTTTATGGAGAGGAACAGGACCCAAAGCATTCTTGAAGAAAAGGGTTGAAGGACTTGTACTACCTAATTTCAGAACTAGTTGTAAAGCTGCAGTAATTGATGTACTGTGGTTTTGGTGTAAGGACAGATAGACTGATTAGAAGACAAGAGAGAGTTCAGAAATAGACCACAATTTACACTGTCAGCTGACTTCTGAAAAAGACTCCAAGGAAATTTAATTAGGAAAAGGAAATCTTTTTAACAAATGGTGCTGTGACAGCTGGCTCTGATGGAAAACAAGAACCTCAACCCCTTATACACACAAGAATGATTTGAGCTCATGGACTCAAAATGAAAGCCAAAACTAGAAGGCTTTTAAAAAAATATTTAGCAAACTGTGACCCTAAGATAGGCAAAGTTTTCCCAGGTTTCTTTACAGAAAACATTGATAAATTGAACTTCAAATAAAAATAACAAACAGTTTTTGCTCATTAAAGACAAATAAATGAATAGGGAGGCTGCACACTAGGAGAACATACATATCCACAATACAGATGTATAAAGAATTCCTACAACTCAGTAATAAAGAGACTATCATCCAAATAAAAATGGATCAAGACATTTTACAAAAGAAGACATATGAATGGGGAGTCAGCACATGAAAATGGTGCCCACAGTTATTAATTATCAGGTCAATGATAATCGGACTCAACAGAAATACTAATACATAAATGTTGGAATGCCCAAAATTAAAAAGACCAACACCACCAAATGCTGGGGAGGATCTGGGATTACTGGTGGGAGTATAAAATGGAAGTACATGTCAGCTTTTTATAGAGGTGAACGTACATCTGCCCTGTGAACCAGCAATTCCACTTCTCAGGACAAATGAAATGTAACCATAGAAGGACTTGTGTCACAATGTTCATAGCAACTATTAATTATGATGGCTAGAGCCAGGGGCAGCCCAGGTGTCCTGGGAGAATGGATATATGGCTTATGGTGTACTATACAATGGAGTTCTGCTCAACAAGAATTAGTGATACGTGTAACAATATGGATGAGTTTCAAAAACAAACAAACAAACAAACATGCTGAGTGAAAGAAGCCAGACACAAAAGAGTGCATTCTGTATGACTAACATGGTACGTGACATTCTAGAAGAGGCAAAACTAACCTAGTGTGAAAATCAGAATATCAGAACAGTGGTTGTTTGGGGGAAAGGGACTGACTGAGAAAAGGAACAAAGAGCTTTCTGGAGTGATAAGATCTGCACACACATATCACAAATGCCCACACCAGTTACAATGAATCAATTTCTTGGCTTGGAACCTGGGCATCAGGTTTTTTTTTTATAGTCCCTTCCTATCTCCATACACAAAGTGATTCTGGTGCATAGTACAGGTTGAAAAAGAACACACAAGAATCTCAAAATTTTGTCACCAAGCAATATTTGTAATTTTACAAATGGGAACTACAAGTTCAAAGGATTCTTATTAGTACTGTAAAAACATTCTCTGGATAAATGTGTATACTTGTTGGTTGGGTAAGAAATGCCCAACTTGTATGTGTCTAATTTTCACCTTGGCTGCCAAGAGGTTCAGAGCCAAATTCAGTGCTCAGTTTAGTGATTAACGTCTCAGTGCCTGATAAACCAATTTTGAGGGGCGAGGGTTTGGGAGATAGAAGATGGGGGCATTAAAATATCCTGTTTCACATTTTAAACTACCTCAAATTATTTGAGGAAAATGATGGTGTATAAATCATATAAAACATTGGTCATTTTGGAAAAAAATATTTTTTCATTGAGGATATAAATATATTGATTGTATGCTTCTCCTTCTTCTCAGAAAAAGGTTCGATTAGGAAAGACTTTTGCCGTTGCTTGAATGAGTCCTCTGCTAAAGGTAAGTCACGACTCAACCAAATGATCGAATAACGTAAAAAATGCATCATTTTACAATACAACCGTATCAACAGGGAAACTCTTCACTCACATTTGATTATAAGGGCGAGAGTGGAGGAACCCACGTAAGAGTATGGAACATGCTAAGAGTCCCTAATGGATCATAGATGGCATAAAAAATTTAAGTGCACTTCATTACGTTCTCAGGGTAAAGAAATCAGATCTGTACGCAAATGTGCTCACTGTCATTCTGTTTCTGTGATGATTGGTGTGGGCTGCTTTGATTTTATCCACTGGATAGGATATTTTCTGCCCCTTCTCATTTAACAAAACCATACAACCTTGGCCCCCAGGAGAAAATAAAAGGTCTTTATTCCCAAACGGCATATTCTAATATAACATTAAGGAAAAAAAAAAACAAAACACAACACAACAAAAAGCCTCTCACCTGAGCTGTTTCACTGTTAAGCAATCTAGTCAGCAGCTCCTCTGTTTGCACTTTTCTCCCGGTTGAACAGGACTCAGCACTTCTCTCACCACGGATGTTTTTTTCTATTAACCTATTTTGCATCTGATTGACTTGCTTTGTTGCAGCCTTTTGAGAAACAACCTGTTGATTGAGAGTAATAATGTATAATGAAAACTTTTGACACTTGTAAAACAAAAATGCTTCTATGTCCAGATTCTTGAAAATTCTAAACTTGCCAAGCTTTGAAAAAAAAAAAGGAAGAATTAAAGAGGAAACCAACAAATGGATGTTATAGAAAGAATATAGCAGTTGGCAAGATCCAGACCCTTTCTCATCAATAGTACAAGACCAATTAAAATTAGTGTCACTGTTATACGCTCTTTAGAAATTATCTCTACAGATAGCTTGCTTATTGAAAACGGCATTTTTACAGAAAACTGTCACATTCTAAAACTGCACATGAATTCATTATTAACCTTTGCTGGGAGTGGATCCAGTACATCTTTTTAGTTTAAATTCTTATTAATTAGAATCTTCGTTTTCTATCATTGAAGTGAGCCTAATGAATGTGAACGTATAAAAGGAGCTTATAATGTTGCTTACTTTCTTATACAGGTAATTTAACCTTTGAGTAGATGAGTAACAGTTCGTGCCCCCTGGTACTGTGCACCAGTATCAAAGGTTAAGTTCTACAACAAGCCTGCTGTCTCTCAGGTTCTTTTTCACACCGTGGTGTTATCTGGGGGATGACTGACTCTTAATAACCTTGAAGTAGACACGGAAATCGAAGGGCAGATCCCACAATTCAGCTGGAAGATTAAAAGCCACAGTGAAGATCCTTATGTGAAGTATTTGGTCAGCAGCTTCATGTTTACAGCAGCTGAAAGTGCCATCACCTTTCTTCATGGGTTAAAGAGGGGCCAGAAGATAGGAACAGCACAAGGGGAAATAATGGAGTAGCCAGTGCCAAAACAGAGAATGAATTACGTTGGCTAGGCGAGCAGAGCCTTAATTTGTAGTCTCTCAATTTTTAGCTTCTATTGCCAAGTGTGTTCACTCCTTCCCTTTAAAATATGCTGGTGTTTTGTGGCGAGGTCTAAGCTGTCACAACACCATTCTTTATTCGCCCCTCCTCCCGGATCCTGGCTTCTCAAAGGGTAGCAAAGCCATTGCTTTTCAGTACCCTGACAATTGGCATTGTTCCCTAATCACTCAGGGTTTCTTTATTTTCACCACTCAAGTCTCCCAAACTACTGGGAAAATTCATGGGTAACCACCTTCTGAGTCACACTCCCACTGAAGTCATCTTAGTGATAAATGCTCACCATACCACTGGTGCGAAACAAAGGGTTTCCCAAAGCTGTTGTACACCGGTTCGTTCTGATGAAAGACTGGCTTGCCAATCACTGTGAAAATGTGTTTTATGATAGAAGGGATTAGTTGAGATACGGAGGTTTTTAATGCCTCACTTTAGGTATAAGAGTTTCTGGCCTGGGAGCCTCTGATGTACAAACAAAATCTGATCTAATATATTCAGTCCTCTGTGAGGCTTTCTGGAAGAGATGGTGCCTCCTGGATCTGCCGTCAGTTGGCTGGATGGGCAGGTTGCGCTGCCATAAGCATTTCTAGCTAATAAACAAGATGATACCCAGTTTATGGAAATTTTCTATTTCTAGGGGAACTTTTAAAATGGTAAGAGTGAAGTGGGATAAGTTTTACTCTTAATTGTGAACAGAGGTAAAACGTTTTCTCAAAGATGTAAGAGTGAATATAGAAAACACTCTGGGCATCGCACGAAATCAAATAAAATACTACCCAAATAGGTGTCAGCTTCAAGAGAGAGGCTATTCAGATCAGGTATTTTTTATTTAATTTTCCATTGGCACTTCAGTGTTCCAAGAAATCAGGAATACTTTTGGCCTCCTGAAATCTAGTGAGCCAAAAATGTGCTCACAAATGAGAATTTATATTCTACTTTTCTCACACAGTATAAATATAAATAGAATTATTTTGAGAATTAAAGCTCAAGAAAGAATTTTATGAACTTTCAAGGTCAACACAAAGATTACTACCACGAATAATAATATATATATTCATCCCTGGATTTGCTGCTAACCTCAGATTTAGAGTAAATGAAGGGACAAACTCTTACTTGTCTGAAACGTAAGACAGCTTGAACATTTTCATTCTGCCCTACAGTTACTCCTCTGCCTAGGGAGAGCACTTAGGAAGGATGGGTGTCTGTAGTATTACAATATGGATTCAAGCATCATAACAAGGAGAGAGATACGATAAGCTGGTAAAAGGATCCTCTACTGGCTGTGGAAGAAACAGCTTATTCAGAGGGTTGAACGGGGGCCTTCAATAATGCTGGTTTTCCAACGTGGCTTTAACATTCTCATCTGGGAATTCTAGAGCTTTAGCTCACCTCAGTAAGCATTCTTACTGAAATATGGTTTCCTTCAGTGAATTTTGGACATTAAATCCCAGTGGATGGTATAAATAGACTGTGGTAGCCTGATGATAGATTCTTCTAATTTGACAGTGTTACCTCAGGAGCCATCGGAGCTACTAAAGAGTGATTTCAGCTATACAGAACATCATTTTGATTGAGGCAAATGCCCCAAAAGATTTGCCTTTCAGAAAAAAAAATATCAATGTCTCTACTGTCTTGACAAAAATTCATTTCCAATTTAACTCCAGTAACAGTATTGGAGGACTTGTGTAAGAAGGCGGCTCTGTTTACAAGGAACAGTTTATGATGCCTTGTAAAAACCTAGTATTGGAAAAATACCTCCTTTTTCTTTTGCAAAAAGATGCTGTAAGTTTGCCAAGATTCTTAACGGTGATGTGCTATTTTCTAATACCTAACCAAAGCATATTTTTGTTAGGAATACTAAATTTAAAAGGTACAACCATTTCTGCTGAGGGAAATAACATTTTAAAAAAATGAGCATTCATAACTTTCCTTTGAATACTGAATGATAGAAATATTTTATTTACCTAACGGTATATGTTTTCTGGTACTGACTTCTTTTTTAGTATCTTTGTCCAAAGAGTGTAAGTTCAGGATTCATTCAATATTCTGTTAAATAACTAGAGTAATCCATGTATGAAGTAACAGAAAACGTTTTTAGTTACTAATAAGGAGATTCTGTCTGGGACTAAAAAGAGAAATCTGGGGCCATGTGGTTGATACTCATTCTGGACCTAAAATGATTTTTGTTATGGAAGCAATCAATTGTGGAAACTAGCCTATACTTTTATCATTCAGGGAAACTGAGTACAGCACAGTTTATATTGTCATATTTTGCTTTTCAACATTTTCAAGTTTAGTATTTGCAACATTACAAAATCTGTAAACTTTAAAAATACTTATTCACCACATGGTGAGCCTATTTTTATATTAAGATTATAACATATTTATGTGCACTTAAAATACTACAGAAATAAAGTCTTTATTCAATAACTATTGATCGGCTGTGAACTACATCCCCAAAACCTCTTACTGTCTTTATATCAGGGGTGGTCATATTGTTAGAAATTAACTAAGGTCTTAAGAATGCATATTATTCTTAGTGTTTGCTTTTTACTCATAATCAAAGCGCTCTAATCAAAAGGGAAGAATAAAATATTTTTGATTGAGGCTCATTGGAAAAAATGTTTTATGTTCTATTCTCTGCATATAAAAGTGGTTTCACAACAAACATCTTTTGAATTTGATGAAACTGAAAAATTCTGGTGGATAATAATTAGAATTTTACATCAGAGGATATAACTATCAGTTTTTAAAATGGCTTCTTTTATATTTCAATTAAGTTTATGAAACTGAAAAACTACAGAAAAGGAAAAAAATCTACTTAAATTAGTGTAGATTAAGTGGTGACCATTATTGCAAGGGAGATACTACGTTAAGGAAATGGCTCTTTGTTTTGTTGCAAAAGTGATAAAAACACAAAAGTCAATAAAACTGTTAAAATAAGTCTCAGTAATTACCAAGATCAAAATCCACTGGCTTTTTATTAAACATGAACTTTTGTTCTGCCTTCTGCAATACGTAAATAGTGCTGACAATTGGTTTGTGAGGCATTTGCTACAATAAAATGTAATTGTATCATGAGAGAAAGGTGACAATCAGGAGATCATGAAAAAATTACATATTCTCACTGGTAGTTAATTAGCCATGCAAAACCTCCTCAAACAGATATTCTCTTCTATTAGGAATGATTACTATGCAGGCCTACAGATGTCAATACCACAGTCATTCAAATACTTCTTTCCCTACTAATTGAAGGTTGTAAAGCTCTGGTGCCAAGGTTTTGCTTCCAAAGAGCTAATTTATGACTAGAAGGATATTTTATGTCTTCAGTTGCAGCAGCTACAAAATTCAGCAAATCAGAACCATCTGTGCACTGATACTTGACTCACCATCCATCTAGCGGCCTATCAGTCACGTTAGTTTGCATCCTGCATTCTTGGCTCATGAACACTTGTGATGATCCAAAGTTCATAAGAAATATTAAAAATGAATGGCATCCTGACCCTACCTTATTGCACATGCATCGGGGAGAAAAAGCCCTCCCTACAGGTTTTGCATGTGGATCCTGTCCAGGAAGGGCTGGACATTTAGTTGCCTGTCCAGTAGCACTGCTCACAGGAATCTCAGGTTTCCCCCACCCTGTAAAAAATGTTTTAAATCCTAATTCTTGTGTATTGTTTCAAGTTCTCTCTCTCTTTTTTTAAGTCAGTGGGAAGATAACAGAATATAGGAGAAAAGGGTAACTTAAAACTTTTTAAAAGGTTATTTTTGTAGATTGATATATCAGTGCATACAAGTAGTCTGGTTAAACCTAAGAATATCATCATTATCACCCCCAAATTATGGAATTATGGCCAAACTGGCAAACAAAAGCAGAGAGCAATAACCAAAGAAATCTGAAGAAAAGCAACGAATAAAGGTTGTCCTGAATAAAGTCAGATTAGCCTTTAATCTTACCCTGGTCGTGTCTCTGTGACCTCAGCGACTGCTTTATTTCTTTAATAGTACCCTAAATAGGCCATGGATCCTACTGTTTTTCTCTAAGAGACAATAGGTCAAAAGAACTTGCAACAAAATTTCCTGGAGCTCAGTTAGGAGAAATAGGAATTAAATGTAATAAGCAAGAAAGTGGGTTGTCAGACTCCCTCTGAGACCCAAAACAACTTCATTTGGTAGAAAAGCCTCACAGAAGGTAATCGTAGGATCCCAGGGACTACGTTACTTACTTTTTGATTGTTTGGAGTATCCACATTCACACTGTCTCCTTTAGTGGAAAATTCCAGTGGTCCTAAAGGTGTTCCACCTGGGTTCAGAATTTTCTTGAGCATTTGATAGTTTGGCTTTTCATCATATGCTAAATTATGAGCACATACCAAATACTGGGCTATTTCACCTGTGAAGTGTAAATTTTTTTTTACATGTTATTCGTAATTGGCAAGAATTGTCAAGACTCCAATATCATCAAAATCTCTCTATTCTGTCTTACACGTGCACACAACACACATCCTGAAGAAACTAAGAATAAACAATTCGATGCAAAGCACTTTTCAAATGATATCCAAAAATGACTGAAATATAGTGACTTAGAGATTTGACAAGATGGGAGAAACTGGTAATTTTTTTACACATCTTTGTTGATATGTTTACATTTCACTAATCTTATCAAAGGAAGCAAATTTTAAAATTATAGTTAGTGAGTTTGATTTATGAAGTGCAACTACTAAGAACTACATGAATAATATAATAGACCAGACATGCTTCATACTTTGTTGAAATTTTAAAAATTCAGTTAAAAACAAGTGTTACTTATTATAAACCTTACTTCAACGGAAAAAAAAATCACTGCAAGTTTTAATTCAGGCTTTGATTTTGAGATTATAAAAGTACATTTAGAGGGATGCCTGGGTGGCTCAGTCAGTTGAGCGTCCGACTTCGGCTCAGGTCATGATCTCATGGTTTGTGAGTTCAAGCGCGGAGTCGGGCTCTGTGCTGACAGCTCAGAGCCTGGAGCCTGCTTCAGATTCTGTGTCTCCCCCTCTCTCTGCCCCTCCCCTCCTCATGCTCTACGTCCCTCTGTCTCTCAATAATAAATAAACGTAAAAATTTTTTTTAAAGTATATTTAGAAATGAGCTTGAATTCTAGGTTTTTAGCCATGACTAATTTTAGAATTCATCGAACCTTCCTGGAGTCCTCCACACCTAGCTAGCCTAGTGCATTCACTAGTGCATTCATTATATAGCCTTTCTGATTTAGAGCAGAAGGGTAAAATGTTGCTACTTTTTCAAGTTTGTTTATTTTGAGAAAGAGAGAGTGCAAGTGGGAAAGGGGCAGAGAGAGGGGGACAGAGGGAATCCCAAGCAGACTCCCTGCTGTCAGTGTGGAACCAGTGTGGGGCTCGAACTCACAAACTGTGAGATCATGACTGAAGCCAAAACCCAGAGTCAGATGCTGAACGGACTGAGCCACCCAGGCATCCCTAATCTTTTTCTAATGTAATCTCTTCCCTAGAACTATAGTAACCCCCTTCCCCCTGCCAGAAACTATGAACTACAAACTTCTAAATACAAGCAGAATTAGTAACCCAAAGTTACAAATATAGCTGCCTTAAAACAAATGTAGTTTGCATTTTTGTTTCAGATGGAGATTCAATCTAAAATCCAGACACAAGTTAAGTGATCATACCATATACTGTTTAAAATCTGGCATGTTTTCATTTGTTCACAGAGATGTTTAGATACTCCACTTTTTACAAGCTTTTCCCCTTCAAAAACTTATTACTGACACAGACACAAGTACCTCTTACTAAGTTGTTTATATTCCCATGGCAGGGAAAATCTGGGAAGCTTTGTGGGTTGGCAGGAGTGACTTCCTAATCCTTCCTTTTCCCTCCAGGCCCACCTCCATTCCAGTGGGGAACCGCGGACCCTGGGTTTATCTCCCTATGGGGAAGAATTCCAAAAGGAACAGTCACCATCCTGTTCCTCTACAAAAGTCGGAGTGACCATTTTATACCATATTGTCCATAGCCATTTTCTAGGAATATAAGGCTACTGTGGCGAAAATGAGAACTCTTAGCTCCAGGTTTTTTTGGTTTTGTTTTTTGGGTTTTTCTTTTTTCTTTTCTTTTCTTTTCTTTTCTTTTCTTTTCTTTTCTTTTCTTTTCTTTTCTTTTCTTTTCTTTTTTCTTTTTTTCTTTTCCTTTCCTTTCTTTTCTTTTCTTCTCTTTTCTTCCTTCCCTTTCTTTTGATACTTAGGCAATTATAATGCAACCTACTTTTTCCCCTAATGTCTAAGATATACCAAATTCTGTTCTCTAACATTGATCAAACAGATCTCTATTAGCTGGCAAGTAGTTATAACTCATGTTTCCAGAAGCCCATTGGGGAGGTTTGATTGCTGAAGGGATGATTAAAAAGAAAATGAGATTAAATTACATTCACTGTTATTTTAATGTAAATATTCTGTTGTTCTTTGGCCCTTTCAAGATTGGTAAGCCAGGTTTGGCATATATTATTATAATTCTATTAACCAAAATATTCCAAATGGAGGAGAGAGCTGAATAATCGGGGAGAAGTTTTCACAGATCACCGTTAGAAGGCAATGGAAGATCCTGGCACTGCACCAATGGACAGCAGCTGTGCGGCAAAGCCTTCATGGGTCTGGGGCTTGGAAAAATGAGGCATCGGTGAGGTAGGAAAAGGAGAGAAAGAACCGCCCTCTTATAAATTCATTATTATCAACCTGAAGCTTAGACTATTGTGATGTATTACTGCTTTAAATGTGAGCCTTCCAAGATCTAGATTTATTATATTAAGTATACTTTTTAATTTACTAGCATATTTCTGGGGCTATAAAACAAAATGCTTTGGGTAGTATGAAATGGTGATATTCTTGAATCATCTGCTTTTAAGCTAATGAAATATTAAGTATCATTACTATCATTTCAAGAAATACAAACTTTTCAAACTATTATTATTACACTGAACTAGACATGCGTGTTTCAACCTCTGTGGTGGTTTTATTTCATAAGCTGCCTTAGTAATAAACCTTTTATAAATCGGATTGTCATGCTTGCAATACCCACTCCTCAGCACGACCAAGTAAGGGATCTTCAGTTAATAGTAAAGTTTCAAAGTTTTACGCTTTAGAAACAGAAATCTGCATTTTTAAAAAAAAATTTTTAACGTTTATTTATTTTTGAGACAGAGAGAGGCAGAGCATGAGCGGGGGAGGGTCAGAGAGAGAGGGAGACACAGAATCGGAAGCAGGCTCCAGGCTCTGGGCCATCATCAGCCCAGAGCCCGACGCAGGGCTCGAACCCACGGACCGTGAGATCGTGACCTGAGCTGAAGTCGGACGCTTAACCGACTGAGCCACCCAGGCGCCCCCAGAAATCTGCATTTTATAAAATAATAGGATGGTCTCAAATAAATGGTTTGTACTGAAAATGGGGACCAGGCACTCCTGTCATTTCTCATTATCATCCAAATCTTCTGATCTCCAGTAATAGAAGTGTCCCGAGTATACACAGGTTTCACAGGCATTTATCTTGTGGGACCCAGGGCATCTGGGCTTTCTTTTCTATTCCAGAACAGTTAGTTGCCTTTTGTGCAGGAGGGGCAGAAAAGGTAAAGGAGATACACAGTGAAAAAAAATTTTTTTGACATCTCCCATCTCTCTTTTTTGCTGTCTTATTGAGTAAAACATAAACGGTATAACTTGGTCAAAATGTCAATAAGCATATTAGCCAAGAAAGAATATTGGTATTTGAACCACATCACTCAGTGCAGTTACAGAAAGGAAAAGCCTTCAGTCCATCCCCTGACCCCCAGGAGAATACTCCCCCTATGGCGCCTCCATCAGAAGAGGGACCACAGAAAGTGGGAAGCAGGAGGCACAACACTGGGGCAGGCTTAGGACTTGGGGAATAGAGGTGGAAAAGCAGAACTGCTTTGTTCTTCTTTCGTTTCCCATGGAAATGAACATTTTCGTTTCTTGTCAAAGAAGGGCTATAAATATAAGTTTAAGATGATTTAACTCTACTTTTAAACTCTCAGATGGAAACTGATGCTATTTGACCTTATCTAGAGGGTCAGCGTACACATTTACTTTCATAAGTCAGCTAAAAGCTAACGTTGAGATTACCCAATATATAGAGAGAACAAGGTTCTTTCTGCTTATCTGTCTCTGAGAAAAAGTGAGGCTGACAATAGAAGGGACTCTTTTCTCTAAGACAATCGAACTCATTTGCTAAATTGGTGAACTACGTGCCATGCATGCATATGCAAATGACAGGCACTTGGGTAATTCTGAATTGACTATTTTTACTGATAATACTGTCAATTTAAAGAATTCCAAAACAATCCATACTAACTCAAAAGAGAAAACCATTTAATGAAATGTACCTTCAAATCCCAAGGTTATATGCCTTTGCTAATCCAAAATTTTTTTGCAGGCTGTTCAGAGCGCAAACCCTGAAGGGTTCAGTGATGCAAGTGTTCAATGATTTGGTTATTTTATTTTATTTTTTTAAGTTTATTTATTTTGAGAGAGAGAAAGCGAGAGAGTACAAGCGGAGGAGGGGCAGAGAGAAGGAGAGGCAGAATCCCAAGCAGGCTCTGCACCATCAGCACAGAGCCCTGTGTGGAGCTCGAACTCAGCAAGATCATGACCTGAGCCGAGATCCAATCAGATGCTTAACCAACTGTGCCACCTAGGCACCCCAATGATTTGTTTTTTTTAAATTAATGATTGAAGGTGCTCTCTCCTTAGATCAACTTTATCTTTTGAACAATATGAAGAGGAACAAAAACAGAACGTCAACTCTAAAAATACTAGATACAGTTGACTATTAAACCTGTATATGATACCCCCTCCCCTGCCAAAAAAAAAAAAAAAAAAAAAAAAAAAATCAGTCAACAAAGCCTAGAACACTGCCTAAATATTTTCTTGTAGCATTCTTGTAGCATTGTAGTGTTCTAATGTCAAAGAAGATGTAAACATTCTCTTCCGTAGCAACTTATCTGTAACCCTGTGTAGGGTTTTCTCCGACCCATGTGGCAGTGGGAGAGTGTGGGTTAAGCAAAAGCTGTAAAACAAGAGTGACAAATGTGGTGACGTGTAAATCACATAGGAGAAGGTAGAAGTTATCATTTGACTTACAGCAACTGCTTCCGGAAGGAGCCCATTTAAGCACTGACTCAGGAAGCTCATCCAACAGACTAAAATGAAGTAGAGTAATACACAATGAATTTGTAATCCTGCGATTTGTTGTTTTGATTAGAAAACAAAATTCAAATTCTGTGTTGGTGGGTCACCCATATTGTGACTTTCAATATTTTTTTCACCCACCTGCTATGGATAAGAGGGTAAGTGGAGGTGGAGGGGATCCCTCCATTCTCACTGACCAATTTTATATCAATCACCTAGAAACTAAATGTAGATTTATACTATAAATGCTTGCATTCGAAGTTTGTAATACAAAAGTAGGGATATCCATCATGATTTTTTTCTTAAAAACAAGAAAAAATACATAGCAAAATTCGATCTGGATTTTCAGGAGATTTTTCCTCAGGTACTTACCACTGGGGAGGGGCAAATTAATTATTTATGTATACCGTTCCCCAGTGGGAGCAGTATATGCTATCCTTTGATTCGAGAGGTTAACATTAAATAACCAAACAACAAAACAACAACCAAGAAAAGTCATTTTTCTAACTCTTTCCAATGTTTTAGACTGAACAAGTACAATTCTTTTAAGTTGCTTCATCCACCAGTAATATAAACATGCAACTAAAATTACTGACATGAACGTCTGATTGACAAACTCAGGCCCAGGCAGAATTGCAACAATAAATTCACTGATCTAATATTACCCTATGTCAGGTAGATAAAAGGCATAGGGAGATAAAGTATTATGACTGTATACGCAAGCATGCCCTTACAAGGAAATTCAGAGTATGCCTTCTTAGCAGTTGAATGAATTATGATTATATAATATCAGAAGTTTAAAAATGTCTGTAGCTTATCTTAATTATAAACTTCATTATGTATCAGCTTCACTGGCTTATAGATTTATATTAGTAATTAAATAAAAATGAAGATATTAATATACATAAGGATCCCCAAAATGGAAATAGAGGTTATGTTTATTAACATTATATTTTATTATTTTACATGATACACTATTTTTGTATTTGAATATACACACATAGGCATATTCTTTAGATATCCACAATGAATTCAACTACATATGTATATTCTTAAAAGATTACAACAAATCATATTCATAAGTTTTCTTAAAAGAAAAAATACACATAATCACTAAAATTAAAATGTGAGCCTTTTAAATATAGTACATTATTCAAATCAGGTAAACTGAGGTTAAAAACTGGATATCCAGATTGCTTATACATGCCCATTACTGTGCTTTGACTTGACCCATACATTGAAGAGTGTTGGTTAATATGGACACATTAATCACTGCAGTAAAAAACTGATTAGATAGTTCTAATATTGACTTATATGAATGTGTTCGTTTGGGGTAAGGGACTAGGATGGTCAAGATGCCAGGCAGAGAAATATTTCATATAATATATCCGTACTTACAAATGTAACCTGCATTACTTTGCATCTGCAGGCTATATCCTCTCTATCAGGCACTGACACCACGCTGAATTTGAAGACTGATTTCAAATCAGACTGATTTACCCCTTCTGTAAACTTCTGTTGGGACTCATCCTACTTAAAACATAGCTGCCTTTTCCAATCACAATATTACACGTGTGGATAACTACTGTTGAGCATATCCTAGTATATGATGAAAAACTGGCTATTCTGTGCTGCATGCAATTGCTTTCTGTTAAGCCTTATCAGTGAGAAATTAGTAAAATAGTAACATACTCTGTTCTCAGTCTGACCTAGTTCTCTGCTAACAGATTCTAGATGAGAAGAATTGAATGAGGAATATTAAAAGTGTTTATGTGGTTGCAAGATTATCTCTTATATAAATACCTTATATAAAAGTTTTGTTTGTTTCTTCCTTAAGAAACAAAACTTCCCTCCAAGATACAGAATTAAGAAAGAGGTATATTGCTCTCACTTGAAAAATACAAGCCCAATTTGTCCCATTTCTCGTTGTTGCTTCGCCCAGTTAATATCAACCCCACCGAACTCAGACTGCCTCCTTATACATGTACAATGCTAATTTGAAAATACTCTTCCTTGAAAAGACTACCACCTAGAATCTAAGCTTTGGAAAACACCATGTAAAAGAACAAACACTTCACTTTATGTTTTGCATGACAACTCACATACATGCGATTTCATAGGTGTCTTCTTAATTGATTTTATGTCTGTAAGGTGTTTGGTTTTTCAAAAAATAGTTTTCAAATTTCAGAAATTTGCTTTGGTTCTCAGACTAGGAGAATGGCAATCTTCTCTGGGATATTTACTCCCTTTAATGTATCCCTTCAGACCTGCCGCTGTACGTGATGGAATACTTGAAAATGTGTACTTTGTTTTAGCAGTCTGAACAGCCACAGGGTCCCGCAGGCTCCGCTCCCAGGGCAGTCTCCCACATAACCACCGCAGCAGGCAGTAGCCGAGGGTTTCGAGGTCACTTCGTCTGGACAGGGCTAGAGGAGGAAGCATTGAGAAAGAAACATGAGGGACAAGCAAGTTTTGAGACAGAGAGAAATTGTCGAATGAACTACCACTGATGAAATACGAAAAAGCCAAATGGGCAAATGTGTTTTGTTTGTTCAGCTGGACTAAAACTTAAACGCCCAGGCTTTTGGCCCCAGTCCACAGACAGGCAGTGACTTGTTGCTGTTGAAAGTAAGGGTCAGTTTCCTCACCTCCTCCAACTTCATCCTTCCTTAGTCTGGCCTGTCACATGAACTTGATCTCCATGGCCTCTGACATGATCCAGACAACCCATAACCTGGCACCAACACTTTCTCAAAGAGCCAAGCAGTAAAACAAAGAAATAAATGTCTGCAGCTAAATTGCTAACATATGTTCCAGGAAGTCCATGGGGTCTGCGTTGGTCATGCAGAGACCCTTTGAGTGCAGACTAAACACTGATGGCCTTTCCTGTTCCACTCACACTGGGAGCATTTGATGTTGGAAGAATATGACAAAACTGCCATCTAGTGTGCAGTATTAAAAAACAGGTCTGTCGTAAGATTTTTCAATTAAATGGAAGTACAGGGTAAAAAATGCCTCCTGCTTTTAGGTATCCGGTTCTAAAATTTTACAAATATTTTTAGATATATAAGCAGTGCCAAGCTAAAATTCTGGCCAAATATCCTGAACAGAAATATAAAGGTGAGGCAATGATGTGCATGGGGTAGAGGCAGAGGTGGTTGGATACAGATTTTTGAAGTCAAACAGAGGCTTTCAGAATTTACAGTAAGATGGCTTTTCATCAAAAAATACAGAAGAACATTTCAGGCCACTGTAAGTATCATTTATATCAAACTATTAAATGCTGTAAACTGATTTTATCATAATTTTATATATTTTTTAAAATACCTATTTCAAAAGATGGACAATGAAATCTAATATAAGTAAAAATATATATAACAAATGCTACTGAAATAATGATTAACACATTAATGAGATCCCACAAAATGATCTCATTTTTTTTTATAACCATTTCAAATTGTCATAAAACAATGGGCTGGTATTTACATTTCTGCCATTACTTGAATGTTCATCTGTGTAGGGAAATAAAATCTCCTAAGTGCAGTATGTGGCTGTTAAACCTGCTGTAAACAGGTATCCTATTTTATTATCTTTCATTAAATAAACTCTGAAAAGTCACTCAGGAAACTTAGTTTTTAATTTAAAAAGTCACCTACTAAGAAGAATGCTGCTAGCACATCATAACTACTTTTGGTTACCATATACAAGTTATAATAAAAGCAAAAGACAAGATTAACTCTTACACATACTCGATCTTAACTGCTATTAGAGTATTGGATTATTAAAGGCCCTCCAATTGAGCAGAATGCTACAGTCCCATGGGTACTGTTTACTTTCTTCACAAGCTTCAACAATGTCCTAATGCAAGACTTGGCTCTCCTATTCAAAGAAAAACACAATCTCTACCACACTGGTTGGTACTGATTTCTTCAGTAATAAATCTCCCACTAATAATGGAATGGCTCCATTTATACAGATGTGTTCACAAGTCCCTTTTCCATTATGGCAATTCCCGATTACCACCACTTTAAATTCACATCCTCTAATTTTCAAAAAATAATTTTCAAAGAAAATATATATTCTGGCACCTGTTTGGACAACATAGGCTACACACAAAAGGCCCCTGGAGGAAAAATGATTAGAATTAAAATGGAATGAACCTTCCCATCACTTTCCCACCCTTCAACTGAGGGATGAATTGATATGAAGTTGTAAGTAATGACAAATCATTTAGATTTCTGAAGTCAATTTTTCATAAACTGGTCTTCCATTGAAATAGCCCTGTGAGAGTTAACTTTTACTTCACTATTATAATTAAAATACATGATCAAATTTGTCAACCTTTATTTTGTTTTATTGCACATATGCATTGATAATTTTAGTTAGGTAAATGTTTTACTACTATTGCCACTAAAATACATGTAATGTTAAAAAAAAATCCCATAGTCACTCTTTCGCACCATTAAAAAGATAACTCTCCCTGAAATTCCCTCCCAGAGAAACAAATTACAAAGTTCTATGTGTTTTAATGAAGTTTACCTCTAAGACCTAATGATTAGGTCTTCTTCCATCTACTATACAGAAAAAGCATGTTAAATTAATTAAAAATAAATATTCTAGATGACAATATTAGCATATGTGTGGGTATAATTAACAGAATGATCATATAGCTTTAATTGACGTTAAAATGCATCATCAAAATAGAGATGATATTACAAAAGTATAATAATTCTAGATAACAATAATAATATTAATAATCCAATCCAATCCCAGGAAATGGAGTTTTGTATATGTACCATACAATATAATTGGATAGTTGGATAGTCTATTTCCTGTTTATCTGGAAAAAATTAAAATGCATAAAATAAAAAAATAAGAATTTATTATATCTAAAAATAAATATTAATATCTAACTATAAAAATATTTTTATAATTTGAAAGTTTAAAAAAAAATTTTTTTTTTTTAACATTTATTTATTTTTGAGACAGAGAGAGACAGAGCATGAATGGGGGGAGGGCCAGAGAGAGAGGGAGACACAGAATCTGAAGCAGGCTCCAGGCTCTGAGCTGTCGGCACAGAGTCTGATGCGGGGCTCGAACTCACAGACCGTGAGATCGTGACCTGAGCGAAGTCGGACGCTCAACCGACTGAGCCACCCAGGCGCCCCTATAATTTGAAAGTTAAAATATATTATGAACTATTTTGTTTCTGTAGAATTTGTATCTCTGTATAATTTATTATAATAAAGTTCCTCAGTTGAATTTGATAATTAATGTAATCATTAACAGTATATTTTCACGTAGATTTCCTAAAAAATCAAACTTTTACTTATTCTGAGCTACTGCTCAGAAATGTGGCAAGATTCAGTTATTAATATTTTTCTTCTATACTCTCTTAGTTTTATTTTATAATTTTTTTTAAACATTTATTTGTTTTTGAAAGAGAGAGAGAGGGAGGGAGAGGAGAGAGGGTGTGAGTGGGGTAGGGGCAGAAAGAGGGAGACAGAGGGTCCAAAGCAGGGGCCACACTGTGAGTGCAAAAGCCCCATGTGGACCTTGAACTCATGACCAACAGTGAGAGCACGACCTGAGCCAAAATCAAGAGTCACTTGATCAAATCAAGGCTGCCCAACCAACTGAGCCACCCAGGGGCCCCTCTCTTATTAGTTTTAAAATAAAATTTAGCATCTAGTTTTTATTTAGCTTATTACTATGGAGCAATGCAAATGACTCTTTATTGAAAGCCTGTTGTATTCTCAATTGTTTAACATTTCTAAATTATGAAGTACTGCCAAAAGTAACAGCAATTTAAAAAAAGCACAACGGGGCGCCTGGGTGGCGCAGTCGGTTAAGCGTCCGACTTCAGCCAGGTCACGATCTCGCGGTCCGGGAGTTCGAGCCCCGCATCAGGCTCTGGGCTGATGGCTCAGAGCCTGGAGCCTGTTTCCGATTCTGTGTCTCCCTCTCTCTCTGCCCCTCCCCATTCTCTGTCTCTCTCTGTCCCAAAATAAATAAACGTTGAAAAAAAAAAAAAATAGAAAAAAAAAAAAAATAGAAAAAAAAAAAAGCACAGGTGTGGCTTGAATGCTATTTCATGAAAAAGCAGATTCCAGAAAGAGTGGACACTAGAATGCATAATGAAAATAAAAATAGTTAATATGATTTATGGATCTGCTAATGTGCCAGCCTGGGAGGGGTAGAGATAGAGAGAGACAGAGAATCCCAAGCAGGCTCCATGGTATCCAGGCAGAGCCTGAGACGGGGCTTGATCTCAAGAACCTCGAGATCATGACCTCAGCAGAAAACCAAGAATCTCGACATTCTTGAGATCAAGCCCCATCTCGGGGTCTGCGTGAACACTATGGAGCCTGCCTGGGATATTCTCTCTCTCTCTCTGTCTCATGCTCCTGCGCTCCCATGCTTCACCCCTCTGTCTCACGCAATAATTTTTTTTTTTTTAAAGAAAATAGATGCTCAGAGAGGTTAAATAACTTTTCTTGTATCACAAAGCAAAAACTGAGAGAGCTCTGCATTGAAATCCAAATCTTTCCGAACCCAAAACCCACACTCAATCTAACAATTACATCTATCATTTAACACAATTCAGACCACATTACCTTAACTACTTCTATAGTTGGGGGATTATTTGAAGCAGGCATTTTAACTTAAAATACCAAAGGACATATTGAGGCAAAGACAGCTGTTTGTCAAGGAATAAACAAACAGCAGGTTCTGAGGTCTAAGCTGCCACACTAAAAAAAGTTTCCATGCAACTATCCCTTCGTGAAACAATTCCTTTCAAACTACTTCATTCTGATGAAGAAGGGTGTCTAGTTAAAACATTACTTTCTAAAAGTGTTTCGATGGTCCTGGTCCTCCGAGCTGGTATGAGAATGAGAGAAGTTCACTTAGAGAACTGGTCCTTATTCTAAAGACAAACTGGAGTAAAATTATCTAGGGTCAACTCACCAAACAGGATGAAACAGGAACTGAGGGCAAAAGAAAGTTTAAGTGTTCATCCCAAAATATATCAATTATTTGATGAAAGTATTTTCTGTTTAGTTTTATTTTTTTATACAGAGTAACATGAAGTATGAAGTATGAAGAAAAACAAGATTTGGTAGGAAATAATAAAGTGAACTTGAAAACTTCTGCCTTAAGCAGACAGGGTTTAAATGCCCAAAACACTAGTTTCTATGCTCAGAGATGACATAAGAAAGGAGAAAATATCTGAATGAGATGTTCACCAGATGTATCAAATGGTGCCTATCTGCAGAACAAATTTAGAGCTTTCTTTTTTTCCCCCAGCTAGTTGCCTATGTTATTATATTTTGTCAATTTAGATGCATAAAGAGCTAAAAAATTTTATGGTGGCCACAATTTAATTTATTTTAATTTCAAAAAAGGGTATTAGGAAAGCAGAATG